ACTATTATAGTCCAATCTCAACTAGTAGATGTCTAACAAAGTCATAAGTGACTAAGTTGAATTATATTGGTAGTTAGATTACATGATTGTTACCACAAATTGAAAATCTTTAAATCTATTACATATTAATTCACACCGTAGCGCATATAACAACTTTTGGTCAAGGGCATCTAAGCATAGGGTCTGACTCGGCTAAGCAGGTGAGTACTCTAGAGCAGCTAAGTCGTACCTCCAACCTAATTTCGTGTACGAAATTCTACTAGTTGTGTACCTACTGCAGTCTTTTATGTAACTGAACATCATAATCTCATGACAGAATTTTCTAACTGTGTAACTTCATAGCTTATGTTAATACTTGTTATGATTTATCATATGACCAAAAGTGACCTTGATAGATTGGAACCTACGCTACCACGCGCATGTGCTTCGATACATCAATTGTAAACTCTAAAAAATGATTTATATGGCTCTGATACGTTTTTAGAAATCTATTACTTAAAAATATTATAGAAAAATAAACACTATCACATATTTGTTGTTCGTGTCTACATACGTTAGTATATTCTCTCGTTTGTCTTAGTGTATTATTTACAATCAATTATGTATATGTCTAATGGATACAAAACAATAAGCTCCGATTACTTTATACCAATTCGATTATTATTCTTTGAAACTTTATTGACATTGATAGCACAGTAATACCATACTACGACATTGTGGTTCAAGAGATCAACTATATACCCAACTGATAATTTGTGTGCCTCTATTACGTTTTCTGATATGTGTGTAATTAAATTATCATACACAAAAGGGGATTGTCAAATACTCATTATTGGTGTTCATGTACCACAATACATCCAAGTGTGGTTTTGTTGTTGTATATTTACAAACAATATTACATTATATCAAGTATGCAAAAACGGTTTAAACTATACGGTTTATCAAAATATTAAACCGAAACCGAACCTTCTAAATGACGGTTTCGATTACGGTTTAAAAAACCGATAGTTACGGTTTGAACCGCCGATTTATGTATATTCATTTTTAATATTTTTCTTTTTCGTTTTTAAATTTTTCTAAATTTAAAATTTATTTAAAAATAATAATTATTTATTTATTATGTAAAATCATATAAATAATAATTGTTAAGATTGTTACAATATAAAAGTAATTAAAATAATAAATTTACTAAGTAATTAAATTAAATTAAATTTTAAATTAAAATAAAAAATTAATTTTAAGAAATTGATGTGTATTAGATAATAAGATAGTTTAAATTAAACATAATTGTATGATAAGAAATGCAAAATCTAAAATATAAATATACAAAATAATGTATATTATTATTATTATTATTATATAATTAATAATTATTTATTTTTATTAATATTAATATTTCTTTATTTTTATAAAAAATTAATTATATATAGTAATTTTAATTACAAGTATATTGTAATATAAATTTTAGTTCTAAACATCCACCTTCCACATTCTACAAATACTAGACAGGTTGCAGTTGCAAAGACTCATTTTTATTATTTTTTTTATTTTTTATTTTTTTCGTTTTTTTTAGGGTGAACATTCGGATTTTTGGTTTGGATTTTTTCAAATCCGAACAGATCCGAAAGTCCAAAATTTTTGAAAAAATCAATCCGAACCGAACCGAAATAACCAATCTTCGAAATTCAAAAATCCAAAATTCGAACTAAAAAATTCGAACCAAACCGAAAAATCCGAAATTTTAAATATTTTTAATTATTTTTTTAATTTGTAAATTTCTTTTATATTTTATTATTATTTTATAATATTAAATATATATAATATAAAAGTAAATATATTAAAATATAATTAATAATTTTGAGCTTTTTATATTAAAATATAATACTTTTTAATAAAATATTAAATATATTAAAATGTTATATTTCAAATTTCGGATTGATTCGGATTTTAAGTATACCAATTCAATCCGATTCGAAAATTCGAAATTTGTCAAAAATTCAATTCGAACCAAATTTTAAATTTTGATTTTTGGTTTGGATCAAATTTTTAGATTTAAGATATTTTGCTCATCCCTATTGTCGCCCGCCCATAACATTTCATAATCTACAGTCGTCAATCAACCATTGCAGCCGGCGTGCAAGTTCAAAAAAAAAAAATGGCCGAACCGCCGGTTGAAATCGTAAACTGGCGGTCTGATCCAACAGTTCGCACTTTGACAAATATATAAACCGTAACAAACGGTTCGAAAACTAGTAAACCGGAGATTCGGAACTATATAGACAAATTTAAGCCGAATGTATTATAAGTATATAAAATAAATTTGGAAGCATTTAAAGATATTCTAGAGGCACATTTAATTTTTACCAAAGAAAATATAAAAGAGGGACTAATATTAAACTAAATAAATAAAACAGGGAGTGCAGACCAATTATTTTAAAACAGGGACTGAATTATAACTCTACATTACCTGTAGGGAGGGCAGACCAATTATCCGTATAATATATTGTTGAAATTTATTATATATACCAATAATGTATAAATACTTTCTAAAATAATAATATTTTAATATTAAAATAAGATATATAAAAAAATAAAAATCTTATGAAAAAATTATTAATAAAATAAAATAAATAATAAACAATACCAAATTAATTATTATTTATTAAAATAATTAAAATAAAATTATGAGGAATTAAATGTAGACAGATAAAAAGTATAATTATATAATGTGGATAGACAAGAGAATAGTTATTTTAATCCCCAAACAAAAATCTTTTTATTTTATTTTTTACTTTTAAATGTTATATATTGAAATTTTATTGGAAGTTGTCCTAAAAAAATTAATACTAATAAATTACTGTCGTGGTTTCATTTATTTTTTGGCATTTTGATATTTAAATATTAATTATTATATCAAATATAATACTCACTTTGTCCCATAATTATGTATTTGTTTGTTTTTTGCACAGCGTTTTAAAATTTTAGTAATATATTGGGATGTAGTATGAATAAAATAGAAATAACTAAAATAATATTTTTGTGATATAAAAGTAATGATATTTGTGTAATACATTGTAAGTTGTAAAGATATTTATAATGTTAGGTAAATAGTACAGTTACTGAAAGAAGAAATGAATTCTTTGTTAGACTAAAATGAAAAAATAGATAGTTTGTTGTGGGATGAAAATATTACAAATTTAGAAAAAATTATAAAAATATTAATGTTTTATAATACTATGTATATTTATAAAAAAAAATAAAAATATTTTAACATTAAATATAGGGTGTGTTTCTCAAGTCCAATTTTGGATTGGATAATATGCACAGTGATCTAACTCAAAATTGGATTGGAGAGGAGTTTGGAGGACAGACTCACAGACAGTTTGTTCTTTTATAATTATACATATAAAAAAAAAATTATAATTTAATAAAATATAGATTATATGTATATGTTATTTCCTATAAAATAATTTTTTTTATAATATAAATAAATAAAAATTTAAAAATATATACATAGATATAATATAAATTTATAATTAAATTATATAAATTAATATATATATTTATATTATTATATTTATAACTATCAAATTAATACACATCAAAATTCCAACCAAATTCAAATTAAAAAAAAAATCAAAATTCAAACTCATCTCAAAAACTATTTTCTAGGTAATTGTTTTTTTTATAAATTGACAATACCTTTATGATAAGGTAAAAATTAAAAATAATAAATAAATAAAAGGTAAAAAAATAAAATTTATATTAAAAAAAAATATGACGAAAAAATAAAATATTAATTTGTGGACGAAGTGAGTATTAAATTGATTTAGGGTGTGTTTGTTTGGGGGTTTGGATTTTGAGTTGGGATTTGAATAGTAAAAATTTTGAATTTGAATAGTTGTATGATGTGATATAAATAGGTGTTGATTTGATATTTTGAATGTAAAATTGATTTTTAGTATAATATAAAAAATAAAAAATAAATATTTGATTTGATATTTTTGGGAAAAAAAATTGGATGAATAGTATAAATCCAATCCATTTCCCCAAACAAACACACTCTTAACATTACCTACCACAGAAAAAAAATATACTGATATATAAGAATTATTAGCATCGTAAATCGCACTTGCTCTGACGGCCTTTCCTCTTCCTTATGTACTCTTGGCGCGTGGCGGCGTTGGTCGGGCGTGGGGCTCACTTCTGCCGGCCTCCTGTGGCTATTCCGTTTTTCAATGGGAAGTCAGTAGGTTTAGCTGCGGTCCACTAACGTGTTTGATGCAAAACTACAAATTATAGTTGAGATAATAAAAAAATTGTTATTATTATCAATAGTTACAGTGGAATTGTCTGAATCGATTTCTTTCCATCAAAGTTGTGCTTTTTTATATTTGTTTTTCAATATTTTAAATTCAAATTATTACATAAAAATAAATTATTTTTCTAATAAAATATTATATTTAAATAAAAATAAAAATTTTATTTTAAAATTCTCAAAAATAAAAAAGATTGAAATTTTGGTTGTTAATTATTAAAGATCGCATTTAAAAAATTACTATAATATTGTTTTTCTAATCTTATATAGTATATATGCATATATATATTAAAAATAATTTAATATAAATAATGAAAGATTGTATTATGAAAAGATAATATATTTATTGTGTATATATATATATATGTATTTTTATTATTTATACAAAAAATTAAAAATATATTTATAATTTATAAATACTACACTATTAGCATAAATTAAAACATTATACCAAAAAAATATAAATATATGAAAATAAAACATAAAACACAACGTAATATTAATGTTATGTATTTAATTAAAAAATGCGATTATATTATTATAAATAAAAAAATTTCAATTAAAAAGATTACACACGCAATCCCAAAAAACAAACTCTTATTATAAAAATATAATATATTATTATAAAAAAATATATATTTAACTTAAAAATAAAAAAACGCAAACAAACAAACCCTAATCCACGGCGGCAGCAACAATTTCGTGTCCATTCTCCAAAAGTTCTTTCGTCTTTCTTCCGTACTCTTCTTCTTCTTCTCTTCTGTTGCTCTCCACTTTTACTTCCTCTCTTTTTCTTTAGTTTCTTGTCTTGTTGTTGGCTCTTCTTCCTCCTTTTTCTTCGCTTTTCTCTTCACCCCTCTTTCGTCTCTATCTTCATCTTCTCGGCTTCGTCTTTGTTTTCTCTGGATTCAGATTTGCAAACGGTCATTTACTCCCCCAATTTATTTTTTTCTGCCCTGCCGTGCCTTTTAAGTGTTCTTCTTTACATGTTTCGTGCAATGCTGAGGGATTGTGAATATCTAGATATCCTGTAAATTGAAGTAAATTTTCTTTTTTGTAGACGGTTACATTGTGTTTAGTTATTGATTGATGTTTGTGAATATGTTATGCCTTTGGTGTGATTTTTTTATTTATTTATCTTTGTTGAGTTTTGTTGTGTTTTGTTGTTATTATGAGGCAATCGGTTTACTTGCTTAGTTATAGGGGTTTTTATTTTTGTCTTGATTTTCGCTGTCTTGTGGGTGCTGATGCGAGGGGATTGTTGTTTCTTAGGCTAGTTGGAAATGCATGTTGCGGAGCCTCGCATGGATTCGGTTTCAAGGCGAACCAGAAGCCAGTGGGACACCTTCTATAAAAAGCGCTACTATGAGATTAGGAAGGATTCTGATGAGAAGAAAAATCATGATAATGGCAGTGGAGAACATATGGTGCCCGATGATTGTGAACAAGGACAGCTTTTGGTATCTGGCAATGATGGTAATGTAGGAAAGGTAGCCAGGAAGAATGAACATGGTATAATACATGTACATGATTCTGAGGGTTCATCGACGGCTGATGATTCCACTGATGCTGTTGAGCAGAGTGCTGATGATTATGATAAGGATTATAAAGTGTATTCTCTCAGTAATGTGAAGGAGAAAGGGAGAAAACATGTTGGGAGGCCTTCAAAAAATAAGGCTTGTCTGATTGGAGGTTCTAATCGGTTCAACAAGTTATTGGATGACATATTGAAGGGAAAGGGTTCAGTGGGGAGAAAATTGAAGAAAAAAGATGTAGAGATAGTGAAACCGGCCCCAACTAAAGAGAGTGATCAGAGTTACAGTGCTCTGCCAATGAAGTTTCGATTCGAAGATCATCAACCCTCTATCACAGAACCCTCTATCACAGAGAAGTCGGATATGGAAAATAATCTTGATTCTCTATATGATGAGTTGGAGATAGAACTATGTGGGTTTGAGACTCCATCCGCGAATTGTCCCTTGGTTAGTAACTTTTTTTGTCGTTTACATACGCAAATAATTTGGATGATCAATCAATTCGGTTGCTGATTGCTTGTCTTGTTAGGACTAAAGCTTTTTTCTGAAATATTGAAACATGTTTGTCTTTTACATACCCAAATAATTTGAATGATCAATAAATACGGATGCGGATTGCTTGTCTTATAGGACTAAAGCTTTTATTGAATTATTGAAACTTTTTTTGTCGTTTATGTATGCAAATAATATGGATGATCAATAAATTTTGATGCTGATTGCTTGCCTTATTAGGAGGACTTACGCTTTGATTGAATTATTAAAGCATAATTAACATATTTGCTTCGGTGATTATAGCTCAGCAGAGGACAATTGTGAAATTATATATCTTACTCAATTGTTGCGCTTCTGCAGACTGATGATGAATGGACCACCTCCACAGATATTGACGAGAGTCAAACTGACCATTGTAGTAGAGGGAAACATTATCGCATTTTTGATGAGCAAATCGGAATTGTATGTAAATACTGTCGCGAAACGCTGCTGGAAATAAAGTATGTTTTACCAGAACTTGTAAGTATCTGGACTTGCTCCTGTGGTAAACAATGATAATAATTTGAGGTATTTCTATAGATGCAACGTGCTAGATTAAACAACCTATGCATTTAACTATTGTATTCTTATTGAAGTTGTCTAAGATTTGTTGGCTATTAAATTTGTTATATACATTATTTGAAGTTACTGTGATGATAAATTACAATTTCAGTCATTGTGTTGCCAATATAATATTATTGTTAGGTTGAGATATGACTCAACACTGTGTCCTTGAAATTTAGGATAGTTTCGTGTCGGTTAAAATAAAGATTTATACTTTTTCTTGTGCCTTGCAGAATTCAAAAACGCATGAGTGGTCAGGAAGGAGAGGTGTGAAAGAGTTAGACTATTCGATTTTACGGGACTCCTCTACCTGTTGCAAACTGGAGTCTTCCCTCCATTCTGAAGGCACAATTTTGGATTTGATTCCTGATGCCGAGTCAGATTTGTATCCGCATCAGTTGGAGGGATTTGAGTTCTTGTGGAGAAACATAGCCGGAGAAATTAAGATTAATAAACTGGAGAAGCTGTCTCCAGATGGGGGAAGAGGCTGCATAATCTCACATGCTCCGGGCACAGGCAAAACTCGTCTCACTATAGTCTTTCTCCAAACATTCTTGAAGTTGTACCCATCGAGTCGCCCTGTGATCATAGCTCCGCGAGGCATACTTCTCACGTGGGAAAACGAATTTAGAAAATGGAATGTCAACTTCAAATTCCACAACTTGAACAATATCAAACTCTCCGGAGAGGAAACTGCAATTGCTACCGGAGATTCTCGTGTCAACAGAAACAACAAAAACTATGTCCGGATAATGAAGCTGAACTCTTGGATGGAAGGTGGAAGCATTTTGGGGATTGGGTATCGATTGTTTGAAGAACTTGCGAGCGATCACCAGAGAAAGTGGAGCAACAATAAATTTAAAAATATACTTTTGGAGTTGCCGGACGTTTTAGTGTTGGACGAAGGTCACACACCTCGCAATCATCAGAGCTTGACGTGGAAAGTTTTGACGAATGTCACAACACAAAGGCGCATAATTCTCTCTGGGACACCCTTTCAGAATAATTTTTCCGAGCTCTACAATACCCTGTGTCTGGTGAATCCACAGTTCTCCCAACAGATCATGCCAACTGATTGCATCAGAAAATCCAGGAAACAGTCCGGCCGAAAGAGAAAAGCGAATGCAGCCAGAGATGAGTGGGCTTATCTGACAAACTCGATCGCCGATGATCCTGCAAGTGAGGTCAGATTGAAGGAGCTTAGGTCTATGATGGAACCTTTTGTCCATGTACACAAAGGCTGTATTCTTCAAAAAGCACTCCCAGGATTGAGGGATTACTTGATTATCCTGAAACCAACCAGCTTGCAAACCAGGTTGCTCCAAAACCTTGATCGATTTGATAACTTCATCGAGCAAACTCACTTATCATCTCTTATATTAGTCCACCCTGCACTGGTAGCGGAGAAGCCAGAATTCTCTGAGCACCGGAGAAAGCTCAAATTGTTGGAAACAAATTCCAGTGCAGGAGTGAAAACACTCTTCCTGATCAATCTAATTAAACTCTCTGTTGGTCTGCATGAAAAGGTTTTAGTTTTCAGCGAGTTCATTGACCCGCTGCATCACATCCAGAAGCTCCTGGCACACCATTTCTCCTATAAAGAAGGGCAGGAAGTGATCTACATGGATGGCGACCTCAATATGAAGCACCGGCAGCGGCTGATCAATTTGTTCAACGATAAGAAGAGTGAGGCTAAGGTCCTTCTAGCGTCGCTCAAAGCTTGCTCGGAAGGAATAAACTTGGTTGGAGCATCGAGGGTTGTCCTGCTGGATGTTGTTTGGAATCCCTCCGTGGAACGGCAGGCCATCTGCCGAGCCTATCGCCTCGGCCAAGAGAAGGTTGTGCATGTCTATCATTTGATCACTACACCTGAAATGAGGAAGTATGCTCGGCAGGCCCAGAAAGATAGGCTTTCTGACCTGATTTTCTGTCCTGCCGAAGGGAATAGTAAAATGTCGGGGTCGTTGCCTCCTCCTCCATGCCCAAATGGTGGTAATGCTGTTGTTGCTGCTGCTGTGTCTGAAGATCAAGTGCTGGAAGCCATAGTTGAACAGCAAAGCCTTGCCAACATGGTTGACAGAATTGTTCTTCATCCTAAGGAATCTGATTTGGTCAGCACTTTTGGCTTTGTGGATCTCCACTAGCGAGTGTACTCTGATTACTATTAAGGTAATCATCATCTCTCTCTTTCTTTGTTTTTGACATTATTTAGTTGTGCTTATAAAATTTGGGGAGTGGGGTATGGCAAGGTAGTGCAGTGGGGCTTGGTTTTAAATTTGATGTGGGAACTTCCGGTAGATTCTAAGAAAGTTAGACTGGCAGCCTGTAGCATGACGTGAATGCTTTGATTGACTCACTGTCTGAGTACTGTAAGATCTGTCTTTTTGTATTGTTGCTCCGACCGGGACTTGACCAACAATTTCTGAGCTTAGCTTAGCCTTAAAAATGTTCCAGCGCACCATGTGATTGATTGATGTGATGCATTATAAACACTTCTCATTTAGATGGGAGGATTCTGAGAGTTTTATTTTTTATTTTTTAAAAAAATAGTATTTAATATAATATATTTGATTTAATATTTTTTCGAAAAGAAATAATATCAAGTTTTTCAAAATTATTATGTAAATAAAACTTCTTCTCGGCTCGTAATTATTTGCCAAATGATAAATACTCACGTTATTATTGCAAAAAAAGATTGGTATTGTGCAATTAATCTGTTTAGTACTTTTAATGATACAATTATTTATAAATATTTAATAATTAATATATAATATATATTTTATCAATTTATAAAAACTATTAACAAAAAATTATATTTTATATTATTAATACAATTTTTTATATTTAATATATATATATATATAATATCTCCAAAAATACGAGTAAACAAACCCAATGCTCTAAGATTTATGTATAAAATTCTATATCATAAGTCATAATCATTATGTGCTATTCTTTCAAAATTGTAATATATTTTATCAGTTATTTAGTTATGTGTTCAAATATTTAATTGTTATATATTTACCTTATATATATAAAAAAAAAGTATTAAAAGATAATATTTTCTCTTTTTTGTTAAAAAAAAAAATTAGAATGTTTTTTATGGCAATTGAAAAAGAAAGTGCATATAAATTAACAAAATATATAGTGAAGAAAATATTCGATTTGATTAGTACACAATCAACAACAAAAATTTCTTGCCTTTCTTATAAATTCAATTTTGCATATTGTAAAACAGAATAAATAAATAAATAAATAAATAAGAGGATTTCTAATAGTGTTGAACAAAATATCGAAATTTTTTGTTTGAATATTTGAAATTTGGAATCAAATCGATTGAATATTTAATAAATTTTTGAATTTTTAGATCGATATATATTGATGTATTAAAAATTCAAATCAATTCGAAATCTTAAATATAAGATTAATATATTTTTAATTATATATTTAATATTTAAATAAAAAAATAAAATTATTAATTGTATGTAATATACTTATTTTTATTTATATATATTCAATAAATATTATAATATAATAAAATAAATATATAATTAAAAAATTGATTTTTTTTTTTTTGGGGATTTTTAGATTTTGTTTGAATTCTTTAATTTAGATTTTCGAATTTCGATTATTTAGATAAGGTTGTAATTGATTTTTATTTTTATTTTTTAAATAAAATTTTGGATCAATTCGATAAGATTCAAACCGAAAACGCGAATGATCGCCCCTAGTTCCTAAGTTTAATTTTAATAATAGAACATAATAATTATGTAGGACATAGAAGGCGTACACAATTTCGATTCCTAGACCCTTCTTACTTCTTAGTAGCATTATTTTTATTACTCTAACTGTTATTATTATTATTATTATTCAGATCCAGATCTTGCGGCTGACAATCTATACACTACATCAGCCGTTGGATCGAACGATTGCCGATTTGTGCGGTCTAGATTTTTTTCACACGGTTCTTATAACTAAAAGACTAGCGATCCAGTCCCGCTACTTCCACAATCTTTCTCTCTCTACAAAAAGGTCGAACGCGCTTTCTCTCTCTCTCTTGGAAATAATTTTCTCTGCTCACACTTGTGTTGGCGTTTGGAGGCTTCGGGCAGCACTTTCGTTGGGCGCTTTCGTTTTGAGTAGCTTCGTCTTGTTTGCCTGAATTTGTGAATTCTTGGGTTTGAGCTACTGTATCTTTCTACATCTAGTCTCCTCGATTTTTTTTAATTAATCTCGATTGGAGCTCGGGATTTTGAATTATACATCTAGGGTTTTCTTTTTGGTTTCGGCTGTTAGCTGTTACATTAGGGTTTCTTGAGTTTGGTTCTTGTTGTAACTGGAAGTTAATAGAAACTGTTTTTTCGAGGCGGGTTTTAGCTGCTGTGGATTGTTTGGATATCTGAGGATTGGAATTGTATCAAGGTAACTGCGCTTGGGTTTAACTTTTTATTAATGGTGAATTTTATTAGTTTTTCTTGTAGAAACGATGTTCTATGAGTGTAAATTTGGGTTTTTGAAGAGAGCGTGAATTAAGTGGGCAGATTTGGATTTTGGGGCTATACCCCCCTAAAGGAATTGCTGCTTTAAGATTAATGATTTTGTTTATTTGTCTCAATTTGAAAATTTTAGTATGGACCAGATAATTTCACTAATTTCCGAAGTTGAAACTGAACTAAATAGCAGAAAGTAAATTTAAAATTACAGTATAATTTATGGATATGAAATCCCCCAATGATTCCATCTTCTACACGTTTTAGAGATTGGAGAGAGGACATGAATGCAAAATTTTCCACTATGGTTTATGCAGAGTTCAATTGATTGCATTAGGGGGTACAATAATCTGATTTAGTAGACAGAGACTATTCTGATGGCTAAGAAGGATAGATTCCCACCTGGGTATTCTGCTACTTTTGCCCCACATTATGAATCCGAGGGATCAGGTAGCTCAGGCCACATTGATTCGACCGAGGATTCTTCAGCACCCATGAGGAAATGGGTTGATTTGAATTCTGCATCAAGAGATGGTTTTGCTGTACCCATACAAACTATACCATTGTCCAAGCTGTCGACATTTGAAAGAAAGAATTTGGTGCTACGCTTGACATCAGAGCTCGAGCAGATTCGACTTCTTCAAAGCAAAGTTGAGTCACGAAAGGAAAAAAGGGTTAGTGCTATTACGAAGTCATCTTCTAGTGATATACTCAGTTGTAACAACAGCCAAAGGAAAGGGGCACAACTGGGTAATTTGAAGAAGCCTGCTGCATTGGGTCCTGGGCCAGGGAAAAAGGGTGGGCGTGCATGGTCCCGCGGTATAACAGGAAGATTTGAGTCAGTTGCTAATCATGCGAGACACGAGAATGCTAATGCAGGTTTGCTTAAGCAGTGTGAAAGTTTGTTGAAGAAGTTGATGTCACAGCAATATGCTTGGGTGTTTAACACCCCTGTTGATGTGGTAAAATTGAACATACCTGATTACTATGATATTATTAAGAATCCTATGGATCTTGGGACCATAAAGGGCAAACTCTCATCAGGGAAATACTCAAGCCCGTTAGATTTTCTAGCTGATGTCAGGCTTACTTTTTCCAATGCAAAGACGTATAATCCCCCTGGGACTGATGTCCATGTTATTGCTGATACAATGAGTAAGTTTTTTGAATTGAGATGGAAAGCTATAGAGAAGAAACTTGTAGTAAATACAACATCCCAGTCAATGCCTGAAAGATCAGCAATTCCTGAGGAAACTGAAATAGCTAAGCCATTGGCCCCTGCAAAAAAAAGGAAGCTTAGTCCAGTACAGCATGAAGTGCTGCAAGAACCCATTAAGCCAAAGATGACAGAGGAAGAGAAGCAGAAATTGGGGACTGAATTGGAAAATTTGCTTGTGGATCTGCCGGACAGCATCATTGAATTTTTGAAAGCACAAACTTCAAATGGTGGTAATGGTGGAGAGGATGAGATTGAAATCGATATTGACGATCTTTCGGATGAAACCCTGTTTACTTTACGAAAGCTGTTAGATGAGCATTTAAAGGACAAGGAGAAAAACCTTGCCAAATCTGAGGCATGCGAGATCGAGGTAGTTTATTATTTGGTTCTTAGTTTTGTCATTTATTGAAGATTCATGATATGCAGTATCCACTATGATTACCGGGCGTGGCCATTGCTGACAGTGTCATATTTTTCATATGTTCCAGCTGCCTAATGTATCAGGTCTCAGCAATTCCTCACTACAAATTGACAAAGGTTCTACTTGAATTTTCATTGTGCCCTAGCGTATTTTTCTGTACTTTGTCCAACCTGATGCAAGTTATTTTGTCTAATTTCAGGAAATAATCCTATGGATGAGGATGTTGATATTGGGGGGAATGAGGCTCCTGTCACCAGTAATCCTCCAGATTTGGTTGGTAAAGATGCAGGGGGAAGAGCTGAAGAATATAATGAAGCAGGTGAATCTGCATTCATGATAATCAGCTTATATTTGATGCTCCATTTGCATATTTAGGTAGCAAGTGTTGCAAGTGACTTGATTCCTTGGGCTCTTAAACATCAATTTTGGTTCACAGTGTCTCCTTGCAGCAACCTTGGTACTTTGACCTTTAATATCTGCTGCAAAGCAAATTGCGGGATTATATTTTAGTTTCACTATTGGGGATCTATCTCCACCTTTATGATGCTTCCATGACTTCTGATGCCTGTGCACTAAATTCATTATTTTAAACTCATTCATAATCAATTCTTATATCTAGCTATTTATATGGTGATTTTTTAAGTAGGGTGTCATGATAGAAAATTTCATTAGTTAGAGGTTCTCTCATCTGAATTGCTCTGGGCTAAAGATACTTTCATGTATCTATGGATTTTTTTGCTTAAGAGTAGTGAGGAAAGGAAAATCCTTATCTCAGTTATGTTACTGTTCTTAAATAAGGCAGTGTAGCTTTTTAAACACAGCATGGGTTCTCTTTCCTTCGTGCCGCCAATGTAATTTCTTTATGGTCTATTAACTGTTAAATTATTCTCTAAAATTTACTGAGGTTTTCAATCCTGTAGGTCCAGACTCTGATGGAGGATCTGAATGCTCCAAAGATTTATCACCTGCAAAGCAATTGCAGGTATAATTTGCAAAACTGTACAATATTATCCCCTTCTCTGTCCACCACCTCATCCCATCTATTAAACTTTACTGGAATTCCCTTGAGTCGTTGGATTTTAATCTAACCTGTCAGGTTTTATATGCATGTTGTGTTTCAGGATGATGTGGATCAGACAATATCCGATAAAGATCAAGACAAAGATGATCTAGTCAATGGACATGGTAACTGATAATTATTTGCTTAATGGGTTTTCTTATAAGCATTGTCTGAGGGATTAGTCGGGAATTTGTTTTGGCATAACAACATTATGACAGTTCCATTGTTTGCAGAACCAATTTCTGGGTCAAGTCAGCCTGATCAGATTTCGCAACAGAAGTCACACTCGAGTGATGGCGATGGTCTACTGGATGGTAAGGAACGGAATTAATGCATTGGCTGCCTTGCATTTATTTATGCATGATGTTTCATCATTGGACATATTAGGCGAGAGTGCACAAACTGAAAGGCAGGTCTCCCCAGACAAATTGTATAGGGCAGCTCTTTTGAAGAACCGTTTTGCAGATACAATCTTAAAGGCTCGGGAGAAAACACTCGGCCAGGTTGGTTACATTTGAATATGCTGTAACTTTACTGAGCCTCAAGTTATTTAGCTTAGCTGCAACTTGACTTATGGCTTTTATCCCGGACGGTTATCAGGATGAGAAAACTGATCCAGAAAGACTGCGACGTGAAAGAGAGGAACTCGAGAATCTTAAAAAGAGAGGTGCCAATAAATAAATGGCTTTATTTACTCATAATTGATAATCATGTCGAGAACAGTTTCAAACAATTTATATTACCAATTAAGCAGAGAAGGCTAGATTGCAAGCAGAAGCAAGAGCTGCTGAGGATGCTCGGAGGCAAGCTGAAGCGGAAGCTGCAGCTGAGGCCAAACGAAGGAGAGAGCTTGAGAGAGAGGCGGCTAGAGAAAAGTTGCTGAAGGTATGTTTACATCAAAGCTTAAAAGTCCATATTAATCACCATCATAAGCATTTATTATTAATGTACTTGAATTTTCTTCCCATGAAGATGGAGAAGACTGTTGAAATCAATGAGAACTCCCGGTTTCTTGAAGACCTGGAGATGCTTAGTGCTTCTGCTCCCGAGCAGCTTCCGTGTTATGTAGAAGATGATATTAGCCCAGATGAATCGCAGGATGGATTTGGGAGTTTCAAATTCAGGGGCAGTAATCCCTTGGAACAACTTGGATTGTACATGAAAGAGGACGAGGATGAGGAGGAAGTTGAGCCTCCAGCAGCAGCACCACCACTATCACTCCTGAGTGGTGAACCCGACAATGACAATGACAATGACAACAACAAAGCCACGGAAGATGTCGAGGAAGGAGAGATTGATTAGTCTCTATAGTTATGTACTCCAGAACGGATGGTTATAAAGTTGCAATGTATGAACATCCTATGTAAGATTAAAACCCCCCAAAAAAATGAAAAAATATTAGAAATTTAGAGAAAGAAAGAAAAAGAAAAAAAAAAAAAAAAAAGAGTAAAAATAGAAGTGGTGAAGGGTGTAGATATAATGCAGAATGGTTGGTTATTGCTTCCTGGATTAATGTTTGGCTGCTGCTTGAAATGTACCACTGTAATATGGAGAGAGTGATAAATGTGCTTCATTACCATAACCTTTATATGCTCTGGCTGGCTGGTTACTAAAAATCAAAGTAAGTGTATGGTGTTTATGCATTCAAACCTTAGGTGGTTATTCATAATCTTGGACTGAAACTCGTATACATTACAGAGCGTCTGCTTTGTAAATAAAAATAATATGATGGAAACGAAAACATCATCTGAAAAAGGAAATACTTGCTACAAATTACAAAAGAGGATATAAGTTCTTAAGTTTGTGATTGATTCGTGTTGGCTTGGGGTATTTGTTCTTATTTATATATCCATCTCTGGTTGGATGTCAGCATCCATAGTTATGGGAACATCTTGTAGGTTTTTGCCTGCAGTATTATATTCCTTAGGCCTCCAATTGATGACACCATCATTAGCATGACCCCAAGAAAGATGCAAATCTGTAGCAGCACCCGGAAATTAGATTGAATCGATAAAATGGAATGGAAGAACATCACAAGACAAGACAACTTTACTTACCCAATTAGTGAACCAAGATAAGCTAAATCTTTTTGGCTTGTAGACTGCTAGCCACATGATACATGGAAGCTGAAACAAAGGGAAAACAAGCCTGATCGGTAAACACTTGCACTCATTTATCAAACCTTTGTTTCTATGGCTAACCAAGAAAGAAAATGGGATGCATATATACATACAGCCTATGACTTACAAAGTACGTTGTTGGGGCGAAAGCGAACCCTCCGAAAAACCCAAGAAGGCCACCAAAGAAGGGGAAAAGTATGGCTATGAACATAGTGAATGCTGAAAAACTACAAGTGTTAAAAAGAGTATTCATTCCATAGTAGAAAACAACCCAAGCCAAGAAAGTTCACTAACCAACATATATGTTGCGCGAGATGAAACGAAGCATGGTGCTCGGCTTGAACCGCATCTTTTTCACCAATAAAGTTTCAATCATGTCAAAAACCGGCATAGCGTAGATCTACATGCATGTTATCAAATCAAGACTCATTATATGTCAAAGTAAATAAATCCAACAACTTGGTGCAAAGAAAAAAGCCAAAGTCAGTCTTTAGAAATGAACCTGATAGCTTCCAATGACATGGATCACCACAAACATATTAGCAGCTGCTATGAGCCATTTAGGCTTTTCTAAGGAGATAAGAATGTTGTCTTCCACTTGGTTTCCGAACATCCGGTAACCAATAAGCGCAACGGGGAAGTAGCAGAGGGCGACGACAAAGTAGGCTACAAGCACTCCTTTCCACATTGGCTTCTTCGAAGGTTTCTCCGGGGTCGAAGGAATCGTTGCTTGAATCTCCAACACCACATTATGTCCAGCATAGGCAAAGGCAACATCTCCCAATGCAGTGAAAAAGTCGAAGACTGTCCCTACTTTGCTACTGGCTGGATATCCGTATTCGACGCCCTTTTGCACGCCTTTGTGGAGAGAAGCAGTCCATGCAATAGTCGAGTACCTGCGTGCTTTACGTGCATTGTGTTAAGGTTCTTTTTGCGAAGATTTATATATCTGTCGAAAGTCAGTGATGAACTTACGTTAACGACATAACAGCAGCAGCCAGCGACACGCCGGAGATTGAATTGAAGTTGGGAAGATGGGAGAGGACGAAATGGACAGAAGCAAATATCATTATGAAGTAAGTAGTTCTGATGTTCTTGCAGCCCCCGCATACGGTTTTGTGGACTTTCTCGAGCGACTTGCCACCGGTGACCATGTAAACTATGTTGACACCGACTTCGACTATCAGTTGTTGAGGCACTACGATGTAGAGGCCTAGCTTTTCGCCAAAGGCGTGCTGCCCGAGTTCGTGGTATCTATCAAAACGTTTCCCGGGAACCATCTCATGCATTTCGACCATTTGCCATAAGGTGTATAAGGTAATGATCCATGACAGGATGAGAATAATGACTCCCGGCCCCCTAAATTGATTACGGAATCATCAAGATATGGATGGTAATGAAAATGAATTCGAATGTAATGGTAGCTGCTGTTTACCATCCAAGAGCTGCCATGGCATAAGGGAGACTGAGGACACCTGCTCCAACCATGGCTGTAACATTGTGGAAAGCAGAGTACCACCATTTTGCATTTCTTGAAGAAGTAATTGGAAGCCAATCATCTATTGCTTTCTGCTCCAACGATCTGTACGTCTCCTGCAAAAAAAAAAAAAAAGCACAAGAAGAGCAAATTCAGGAAATGGCTATATGTATAGTTTTGGTAATGAGGAAATGGTGATAAAGAGTTACTTTAGTTGGGCGGTAAGTGTTCCCCTCCATCGGTGTCGAGTAAGGAAGAGATGGATTGTCACCGGTTACAGCTTCTTTTTCCATTATGGAATGGAAATAACAAAATGAACAAGACAACTAAACTAGAAATGGTTGATTCTCATATCAAGAACAAGTTGAGACATGAATAGTGGCAAGATTTTGTCCTTTTAAGTAGCAATAAACATGTTCACTGGCCATCGATGTTATCATCATACGACAACAAGTTCATAGAAATTTTCACTGCTGAGATGATATCAGTATGCTGGCATTGATGATAAAGAGAACTGCTGGTTTTGTTTTGTTTTGTTTTGTTTAATTAGCCGAGATTCCAAACTAAAGAAAAAGTTGTGATTGTGCATATTCACCCCCTTGTCTTTTTATGCACTTCTTGACATACACAACTCATTTGCCAGTTATAATCTAGCATCATTTCTTTGTTTTCAGAATTAAAACATCCATACGTTTTTGCGGAGGTTGTAGTAAAACATGCTGAAGCTGAGTCTCTAATTTTATTTCAATTTCATTCACCAAGTGAATGCAAATACAAGGGAAATTGAAATACCGAAGCACAAGTGTACACACACACACACATATTTAGAAACAGCAATCAAGGCTATCTATCTATCTGGTTTCTCAATCAATGTCTTCATGGATTGTCATAAAATCTTTCCTTGCAAACTATTAACATGTCCATCTTGCACAATTGTTTCTTCGAAAACCCTTTCGCTGAACAATAGCCACTGCTCAACTATTTGCACGTAGAAGAATAGCCCATATTCTTATGCTTCTTCCTATGATATGAAAACTAGACTGGACATTAAGTTCCCATCTCTGCTCTGAGATAGGCATTTATGAGTAGAAGTTATACGTTTTCGCCTGAAGTATGATCGTCCGTAGCCCTCCAATCGGTGCTACAATCATCAAAATAACCCCAAGAATGATGCAAATCTGAATACACAAGAGCAAAACAAAAGCAATTCAGATAATGACAACTAAGTTTCAGAATTAGTACATCATTTGAAGCTGCATTTGAAAAACTTTACCCAGTTAGTGGTCCAAGACAGGCTGAATCTCCTTGGTTTGTAAATGGCAAGCCACATGATACAAGGAAGCTGTAGGAATGAATGGATTAGCCCTCTTATGTTATCTCATTCTGTTTTAGAAATTAAAATGCAAGAATGTGTTCGATATGCTTACAAAGTATGTGGTCGGCGCGAAAGCGAATCCTCCGAAGAACCCCAAAAGGCCCCCAAAGAAAGGGAAGGTAATGGCAACAAACATTGTCAGTCCTGAAAATCAGGTCAAGCATACAAAATTAGTGCCGATTTTTTTAAAAAAAAAAACTAGAAAGAAAGAAGAAAATGAAGCAGCTAATGCATGTTCTTACCCACGTAGATGTTCCGTGAAATAAATCGTAGATACCAAGTAGGCTTGAACCTCAGTTTCTTCACTAGGACAGTTTCTATCATGTCGAAAACAGGCATTGCATAGATCTGTGTAGGTCCAAGAAACAATCAAAATATTAAAAAACTTGAAGAATTATTCTGTTATATGTAATGTATCCATTCAGACTTAGTTTACCTGATAACTTCCGATAACATGAATCACCACAAACATGTTAGCCATGGCGATAAGCCACGATGGCTTGTTCAATGTCTGGAGTATGTTGTCATCAACAGAGTTTCCGAACATCCAATAGCCAACAAAAGCCACTGGGAAGTAGCAGAGGGCGACAACAATATAAGCAACAATGACACCTCTCCACATAGGCACCTTCGAAGGCTTCTCTGGCGACGAAGGAATTGTTGCTTGGATTTCCAGCACCACGTTGTGGCCGGCGTAGGCGAACGCCACATCTCCCAAAGCATTGAAGAAGTTGAAAACAGTGCCAGTAGTGGTCGAAGATGGATAGCCATAGTCCACATTTTCTTTCACCCCTTTGTCAGCGGAGGCCCCCCAAGCAATGGTAGAATAGCTTCATAAAACAGCGTAAGAGGATTGCACAAATTAGTGTGTGTTCTTGAATAATATATGTGTGTACATATATGTATGTTTTGTTTGTATGTACTACCTCAATGACATGATTGCTGCAGCCAAAGAGACGCCGGAGATGGAATTGAAGTTGGGGAGATGGGAGAGGACGAAGTGGACGGAGGCGAAGATCATGATGAAATATGTAAGCTTGATGTCTTTGCATTCTGGGCAGACGACATCGTGGAACTTCTTGAGTGATTTTCCTCCGGTCACCATGTAAACAATGTCGACTCCAACTTCAACAATCAGCTGCTGAGGCACCACAATGTAGAGGCCAAGCTTTTCGCCAAAAGCATGCTGCCCGAGCTCATGGTATCTGTCGAAACGCTTTCCGGGTACCATTTCATGCATCTCTACCATTTGCCAGAGTGTGTATAGAGTGATGATCCATGATATGATCATTACTGTTACACCAGGACCCCTGTTTAGCAGAGAAGTTGTTCGATTCAGACTAACTAATCCAATCTTATGGTAAAAATAAAGAAAGAAGAAGAATTGAATGAATGAATGAATTACCATCCTAGGTGAGACATGGCATAAGGGAGACTGAGGACGCCGGCCCCAACCATGGCGGTGACATTGTGGAAAGCTGAGTACCACCATTTTGCGTTTCTTGATGAAGTGATTGGCAACCATGCATCGATTTTCTTTTCTTCTTCGGTCCGGAGATCCGTCTGCAACGCACACATAATGACATAAATAAATATGTAGTGTTGTTTTTAACTTAGTGGTTTCCAGAGATGCTTCGTGCAACTTTCTTTCTGTAAAATGTGATTTTTCAGATTAATTGTATAGCTTTCATCATTTCCAGTCATCTAAATAAATGCTTGCACCAAATTGTCAATCGACACCCACGTAGAACAATTAACCCATTCTTCCATCCATCCGCACAACAACAGAATAGAATATAATTACTAATTGTTTCATCAAACAGACAGTAGAATGAAACACTCGTCAGTCCGTCGAGTCGTCCCTCCATTATCGCCAAATTGAAACAGCCACAAACACTAAGTAAAAGTAACTAACTGACTACTACTATGTGTGTGTGTGTATGTAAACAGAAACAAGATGCAAGTATGAAGGAAGTGTCGAGAGAGAGAGAGAGAAAGGCTCACAATGTTATGATTGTCATCGTTCTTGGACTTGGAGTCGGTAAAGTTGCTGTAAGCATTATCCGAGCCTTGAGTTCCCATGGCCGGCTCTGGCTCTGGCTCAGGCTCTGCTCAACTATGTATGTTTGTATGTAGAGGTGGAGGAAGACGAAGAGGGTTTAATTAATTTGGTCAGAAATGAAATGGAAGGGAAGAGATTATGAACGATAATCTCTGTGTGTGTGCGTGTATGAATGAGCAGGCTGCAGCAGCAGCAACCCACCCTTGCCTTCTTTATATAAACTAAACAAAACGTACTACTTACTCTCTCTCTCTCTCTCCCTCTCACTCTGAGATGATTATTATTATTATTATTATTAATTCAATTAATATAATTAATTAATTATGCAAGTTGTGGGACGACGACGACTACAACGTGCTTGGTTATCCTATACAAGTAGAGTAGAGAAGTAGTAGTAGTAGTATTTTATAGTATTTGCAGTTAATTAATTAAAGTAGTAGTAGTAATTCATAAGTAATACACATACAGCCCAGCCCAGCCCATGTGTGAAGAAAAGGACAAATTGATTTGATTTGATGGCCAACGTTTTTGTTTGACTTTTAAGATCATTATATTTAGACAGACGACATGTTGAAGATTTTTCTACTCCCTTAAACAATATAGCTGTTTTTGAACTGAACCTACCCTCCTTCCTTCCTCGAACCTTCGTATAATTTCATGACTAAAATTGATTACTAAACTGGGGAGTTGGAATTATCAGTGCCCATCTGGGAACTGCCCAAAGAATAAAACACAGCTGCACAAGAATCTGTATTATATGTGTATGTGAATATACTTAATATTTAATTACATTGGTGAGGTTAGGTGGATGGATTCATTGACTTTTTTCGATAGTTTCTTATATAATGAGTCCATAGTAACAATTCGGCAAATTAATTTAATATATATATATATATATATAATATCCCATCCTATTCCACCAGAGGAATGAATGAATAAATGATTATTACTATTATATATATATATATGCATGTAAACCAAATGGAAACTGCTTCCAACTAATTCATATCTGTAATTAATTTATTTTTAATTGACAAGGCCAGGGTCAGGGAGGGATCAATAAATATATATTGCATAGGACAACAGACTCTCCGTCTCATTCTCATATATCAATCAGCCTATTTTATTTGATTTCGTAATTATACCAACACCTTAACTAACATATATATATATTAATATTATTATAAACACACCACATTGAGGGCTACTTGAAATAAATGTTATCGTCTAATGTATGACAGATTGGATTTCCCAGAAAATTACTTATGCACGTATCTTCCTTCTTTGTTGACTTTAGTCAATGGAGAAGATACTGTGTTTTCTTTACAACTTCAAAAATGTAAACTGAAAATTGGATTGAATAAATAATGTATTAGTAATATTTATACAATAAAAAATTATCAATCATATTCTAATAAAATATTATTTTGTAAAAGAAGGTGTGTTTTTCTTGGCAAATTTCAAGAATAGTCTTTTTTTAAAAAAAAAATTAATATATTATATATATTCATTATTTTATATTATTTACATAATTTTCTATACATGTAAAAAACAATCTCCTTAAATAATTTCACTAAATAATCACACCCAAAAATTTATATAACTTAAAGAAATAAAAACTATATATCTATTTATAATTAACATATAGTAATTTTATAAGAAAATATAAAATTTTTAATATAAGCTATATAATAATACTCTCCCAATCCTATGTTAATTGACAATTTTTTTTTTTTTTTCATTTGTCCTATAGCAATTGACACTTTTTATTTTGGATAAAATTAATTGAATCAAAATATACTTGACAAATATAAATCAATCTAATTAACTACATAATATATAACATCGTACATCATATAAGACCCACTCAAAACTATTTAATTTATCTTTTCCTTTTTTATTTATCTACATATAAAACTTTATATCTTTTAGTTTATGATAATTATAAATAAACAAACATATTTTTATTATAAAAAAAAAATTATTCTCTATGAAACAAAATAATGATATTCATATTGCATACTCTCTCTGTCCCATAACAAAATATCCATTTTTTCATTTTAGTCCGTCTCATAATAAAGTATCCATTTCTTTTTTTTAGTAATTGTACTATCTACTTAATATTACAAATACCTTTACAACTTACAATATATTACACAAATGTCGTTACCTTTATATCACACATACTAATAAGGTTATTTTAGTCATTTCTACTTTATTCATACTATATCCTAATATAATACTAATATTTCTAAAATTACGTACAAAAAACAAATGGATATTTTTTTATGGAACGGGAGAGTATATTCTTTTATCAGTTAATTCTCTTTAAATCCCCAATTCACAAATTATATTCCTTGTGAGTCTCTATTCCTAAATTTATTTTTATTTTTAACTCCCTATTTATAAACTTTATACTTTTTTACCTATACACTTCCTATTTTACACTCCAAATAATATTGTATTTACATTTTTATCTACTAAATATAAAAAGAAATTCTTAAATATATTATTTATTTTTCACAAAATGATGACGATTCGTAAGAATTATAATTATTACTATAATCTTTGATAGCAAAATAATAGTGACAATGAGAATTAAGGGAGTAAATCTTTAAAATCAAATGTGTTCTTTTTCTTAAAACACATGTATATATATATATTTTTTTTTAAAAAAAAAAAATATATTTTATACATATTCATTGTAATTATATTATTATACAATTCTCTATATCTCATATAAAATTTCTTTTTAACAATTTCACAAAACAAATACATTATTTATCAATTTTTTTGGATTATGATAACATATTATAGATTTATATCATTAAAGTTTTTTCAATAGTCAGACATTTTGATTCGACACTCTAAATAATATTTTTTTTTTCTGTACATTGCACATAGGGAAATAAAAATTTATAGATAAATGTTTATATTTTTTCATTTCCCTTTATATACTTTTTTTATAAATCAAATAATAATCTACTAGAGTATTTAAAAGATTTATTTATTATTTTGCTCATACTATATTCAATCCGAGACCAATAAAATATATATATATATATATTTGTCATGAAATTTAATATTATTAATTTTTTATAATTTAAAACTCCCAATCGTTACTTTTCAAATGCGTTTTAAGTAAATTTTCGATCGAATTTAACAATTTGTAAACTAAATTCTACACAAAACGAATCATATGAGACAAGCAAGTTCCAGAGGTGTCAAGAGTTAGAACTCATAGTTTCACGGTCACAAACTTATTTCTTAACAGTACATAAGCTCGTTGTTATTCGTACTTTTTATATATTAAAATAAAAAAATATATATTTTTTCAAATAAATAATTGGACGTTTAGTCTTTATTTTATATATTTTTGTATAAATTAACTAATATTTTGTATAAATTGTTGGAATTATATATTCATTACTTTAAGAATTATATTAATATATTTTTTAATTTGACAAAATTAAGTATAAATCTGTACTTTTATATAAGAAAATATATTTTCAAACAAATGTTCATATTTTTAAGGCTACAATTATATATATATATATTAATTACTTTGTAATATTTATAGATTACGTTTCGATAAATATGTATATATATATATATTATAATAAGAAAGTGAAGTTAAATGTAGAGAAATTATAATAGAGAATAAAATTGTAGAGAATATGAATTGATTTTTTTGTTTGTTAAAAAAAGGAATTCAAGTTGAAAAATATAAAAATACAATACATAAAGAGAATACACTATATTGCTAATTGAAACAGTCATTAAAAATTAATAAATTAGATAAAAAAAAATTCATTTTATTTTTTAGTTATATTTTTTATTTGATAATTTATTTTAATATTAATTTATATTTCATTAAATTTGTATAATATAAAAATTATAAAATAATAAAATAATAGTAAGAAAAAATAACAAATAAACACAAAGTAAGGGTGTGTTTGGCAATCAGCTGATAGCTTTTAGGTGTTAACATTTAGTTGGTTCAATTAGCTGTTTGAGTAGTTGATTCAATTAGCTGTTTGTATAAAAAAAATTTAATTGTGTTTTTTTAGTTTTAAAATTTTAAAAATTTGGTTATTAGTTATTTGAAATTACGAATGTGTTATGAAATATTTTTTATTATTATTAATTTTAGATGTGAGAAAAATAATAGTATATGTTTTTATTAAGAAATATGAATATTTTTTATTAAAAATGATGTAAAATATAAAATAATAAATTTTTTGTATATATTTATTATATTAATTATTGATTAATTAATTATATTTATAATTTTTAATAAATTTATTCTATTTTATTTAATTTTAATATAAAAACAAAATAATAATATTTATGTTTTTATTTTATTTTAATAAATATATATAATTTACAAATAAAATTATAATTTAATAAATATTATATTAAAATAATTTATAATTATTGCAGTAGAAAATATATTTATATGTATGTTGAAATAAATAATAATATTTTAAAGACAAATAAGGAATAAAAAAAATTAAATAAAAAAAAAACTTTTCCAAAATATTGGTCATATAGCATTTCAAAAATTATTTTTTTTTGGCCAATAAGATATTTCAAAAAATTAATTTATCAAACACCTGAATTAGTTTTTTGACTAGTTTAAAAGCTCCTCGAAAACCTGTTTTCCAAACATCCTAAATCCTAAAAATTGTGTAAAAAATTAAATAAATAAAAGCACATTGAACTCTCTCTATTTTTTTGCATATATATGACATAAATAAAATTGGAGAATAAAAAATAACTCATTTTTCAACTTTCAATTCTTTGTGTGAATCAAACTAAGAAAAATGAGAATATTTTCATTTCTCTATCACAATATTCTTGTACCAAAAACCCCTTAGGGTTTATATATAGAGATTAAAAAAAATTAAATTAAATAAAAATGTTATAGAAATTTTAGATAAGCAGAAAGTGAAAAAAGAACAAATTTACAATAATAATAAGTAAAGAAGAAGAAATTAGTATATAGAGAGAAAATAAGAATTTAAATATAAAGTTAGGAAATTTAGTGGAAGTTGCTTTTTTTTTATTGTAATATAAATTTTAAAATATTTAAATATATATTTAATTTTTTTAATAATATATATTAAATTTATTTTAAAAATATCATATAACTAATTATATAAAAACTAATAAAATATTATTATAATTTCCTATTAATATTAGATAATGATAAATGCAGGGTGTGTTTGTTTGAGGAATTTGGCTAAAAATTTATTATTTATTAAAATTTTTTTTAAAAAATGTCACATCAAATATCTATTTTTTATTTTATATATTATTTTAAAAATTAATTTTACATTTAAAATATCACATCAACACTTATTTATATTCTATCGTACAACTATTTAAATTCAAAATTTTTACTATTCAAATTTCCATTCAAAATTCAAACATGAGAAGAAACACAGCGGCAAAGTGTTAAATTGAGTACAAGTAAGCAAGGCAAGGACACCCATCCAAAGTTGCTGCTAAACAAACAGAGTACAAGACGTTGACTAGCCATTATTAAATCAACTGTTAATGTTATGATGACTTAATGACGGCATTAATTTGCTGGCCCTGGCCGGAAGGAAGGAAGGAAGGGAAGGATCCTTATTTATATATATATATATATCATATACGGCGGTTGAGACTTATTCTTCTGGTAGCCGTTACAATTACAATTACAATTACAATTACAAATCAAAACTCACTTTGTGTCCAGATTCTCATCATCACTAAAACAACATTAATTTCTTTCACGATTCTATTCCACTGCCTTTCTGTCTGTCTGTCTGTCTGTAAGTGTGTGGTCAAATGTAGGCTGCCCGGCCAACTATGTACAAAAATAGTCGAAAGCTGTGTCTATACTTCAACTGGCTGCCTAATTATTTCATTATTTGAAAATACATTCCGTTTTAATTTGATACTCCGTTGCATTGCATGTGTCAGTGTGCACCTAATTTATATTGGATGAGTTTTGACCAAATTCAAGTACAATGTCGACGTAAAGAAAGAAACGAGCGTTGAACAAAATTCACATGTCGGGGCAATTGTACAATTATGACTTAGAAGGAGGATTCCACTCTTAAATAAATTTATTAGAGTCAACAATATGATGCAGTCAGTAGCAGTACTATTGTATATTCTATATTGTATCTTATCAAAAGCCGCATTTATTTCCGGGAAAATTAACTCTCATTTAATTGGCACTTGCTTCCCTTCCCTTCTCTCTGCTTTGACTTCTTCTTCTTCTTCTTCCAATAATAATTTTTTATACCTTATCTTTTCGGATATGTAATTCTCAAGAAATATCAAATTAAATGATTGCTTTTACAAGTTTCCATGTTTGAAGATGTTGGATTTGGATGTTTACATATGATTTTGACAAAGTCAAGATAGCCCCATCATGATGTATGAATTAATTAATTTGTTTTAATCGAATTTTAATATCAAAAACAAATAATAATAATAATACTTAGTCGTGAAAGCCACGCTGTGTCGAGGTTCCCTTCCAAGAAAGTCATTCGTTTGACTTACATTAAAACAATACTCACAATTCATAAGTCCATCTTCCGATAGTGATGGGGTATTTCCAAGATTAATAACATAAACATTTAGGCCCCAACTAATTTGGGCCTCAATATTGTGGGCTTTCGTAAATTAGATAAGGGAGCAATGCAATTGATAGTATTTGTAACCACAAATGGTCAGTTGCGTAATAAGTAGCACGAACCAACCACTATCCATAGTCATAAGTACAATTAAAGCAAAAAAAAAAAAAAGAAAGCATGGTAAGTAATTAATAATTAGTACCACTGGCCACAAAAAACTAAAAAGCATAAATAGACCAGACCGCACGCCTAACAGTCGTCATTGAAAGAATCGAACAGTGCACAACTAAAAAGAGGAGACATAAATATTAGTTATTGCAATAAACAAAAAAATGGCAGCCATTAACAAACAAGAGCTAGGTGAAGTAGTAGGATTCATCAATCATCATCATCATCCTCATATTCATACTACAATATAATCCGAAGCATAATGATAATGAATGAAATTGCACCTCATCAAAAAATAAGAACCTAACCTAACCCAACCCAACCATTGCCTGCCATAAGACGAAAGTTTCTTCCAAGACTAGCAACCTTAAACATTTTTGTACAGACCCCATCCGTCCATTTTTTAAATCAGGCGGCTGATAGAACAGACCGTTCGTAGACGTCGTAAGGCTGGGGTTCGGCAGCAGCATAGGCCGGTTCGATATGCTGGCACGGGCCGCCGCCAAAGCACAGGTACTGATTCATCGACCTTTTGCTAATCGAAGAGGGCCGGTGAGTCGAACTTCTCCCGACATCAGCGGTAGTCGAGCTCGAAGCCTTGGCAAAATCGCCGCACTCTATCGGCCCTGCATCCACCGAACTCTGCGAAGATAAAGACAATTTAGAGAATGAATTCGAGCGCGATCTCTGACGAATCATAACAGCCTTCATGACACCGTGCGTCATCCCCGCCGCTAGTTTCTTCTTCGCCGTCGGGCTCGGCTGGCTGCTGCTGCTGACAGAAAGCGCTCGCTTGTTGTTAGGGAGCGGCGACGGCTTCAAGTAACGTTGTCTTAAGGGGACATGAACTTGTTCGATCGAACTCCTGTCCGCCAATTTCTTGAGCCTGTCCGAAGGTTTGGCTTTCGTCTTAAGCCACGGGAGGAAGCATTTTAGCTTATGCGCCGCTGATCGGAGCTTTTTGGATCTTCTCGGACTGTGGGCTCCCATGTTCGATCCGTGCTGACTCAATTCGGGGGAGCAAACGCTGAGAGCAACGCTGTGCGCGCCATCGGACACATTCTCGATGCCGGTGTAGAGGAATATTTCAACATCGCTGATTCTGAAGGAGGTCCCTGGACTGTTTCCCATACTCTGCCTTTTTATGTGGGACGCGATAACTTTCCTCGCCGTGTAGTCCCGTGAGGTGAAGATCCCGCCTGCGGATATCAGCTGTTTTGTTAATAAATCTGCGGAGGCAGAGTGCGGGCGTTGTCTGAGGATGTCGAGCGGAGTCATTCCGTCTGTGTCGCGGATGTTGACGTCGATGCAGCTAACGCTCATCAGCAGTTGGACAAGATCGGAATGGATGTTTCCGATGATGGCTAGATGAAGCGGGGTTTGCCCTTCGACGTTTTGGGTGTTTATGATCTCTTCAATGCTGAATAGGCTCTCGCCAAGCAAATGCTTGAGAAGCTTAACTTGGCGGTCCAATCTTTGGAAACCGGAGGTTTGGAATCCGGTGATCACCGAGTGTAGAAATGTTTCGCCGGCATTGTTTTTGGCGTCGATTAATCGGGGCGATGCGAGGATCAGCATTTCGACGACGGGTAAGTGTCCCCGGTGAGCTGCGATGTGCAACGCCGTGTTGCCTTTGCTGTCCTTCGATTCGATTATCTCCGACGATGCTAGCTCCTTAACCACCTGCAGAATTTCGATACATAATGTCTATCATAAACACTGTAGAATTCTGAACAATGTATGTAATCTTAACTAATGAGAGGTTCTGAAACTAAACGCTAACGATTTCTAAGTAGTTCATCAAATGGTATGTACAGAGACTGATAATATACAAAAACATAGGAACAAGACAGTAGTAGAAAAAAATGGTTCTGACCTCAACCTGGCCGCGGGCGGCGGCGGCGTGCAAGACGGTGGCGCCGTGGACGTCACGATAAGCCAAGGCGTCGTCGGAGCAGTCGCTGAGAAGCTCCTTCAGCAATTTCAGATTGCCGCCTCTGGCGGCGGCATGGAGTGCTCTGTTCATTATCTCTAGCTTATACCCGGCGGGAATCGCCGCCGCGCACGGCGAATTGGAAAGCCTGGGGGAGGCGGCGAAATCGAGAACCACCTTGAAGACCTCCGAGTCCTTGCTCCGGGCGGCGGCGTATAGTATGTCGGTGACGCCATACTCGCCCTCCCCAAACACCAGCAGCGGGTCCCTCTTCAGCAATTCCCGCACAAAACTCACGTCCCCCGCCGACGCAGCGGTGTACAGAAGCCATCCGCCATAGCCAGCCCCAATCAAGGAGTTTTTCCCCTTCCTCGTCTCGCACTCCGATAGCAATCTCCTCGCCACGTCGGATCGGTTCTTAGCGACGTTGTGGAACTGCTCTTCGTCGTCCCACACGGTCTCCAGCCGCCGGATTCTCCGCAGCGACGTCAGCTTTATGAGATGGTTGCCGTCGAGGCGGAGGAGCTCCTGAACCAGATCGTAGTGCCCGTTCGCCGCCGCCCAATCGATCGGCGAAGCGTACCACCATTGATCGCCGGTGCTTTCCCACCTCAACGGAAAGTAAGTCGGCTGCGACATCCCTTAAAAACGCAATTCCAAATTTCCAATCCAATTAGGGTTTCCAACACCCGAACACCGCCCAGAATCTTCTCGAATACGGTAGAACTTCAATAACAAAAAAAACAATACAACAGCTTCAAAACCCTAGGCCAGGCGTAAAACACCAACACCGATAAACATCAATCAACAATCCAACCTTTGTTTGTCGTAAAAGAGAACAACAACAAAGGAAAACTCAAAAATTGCGAAGAAATGAAGTCAAATGGGAATTATTAATTCGATTTTCTTGTATGGGAAGAATGCAAATCAGAATCCACACCCAAAATCGAAGCAATAAATGGACAGAGACCCTACCAACTTTTCGAGAATTACCGAAACGAGATTGTAAGAACAATTTTACAGGAACAAAAAGGAAAGGTGGGAAACATTCTCATTCCACGAAATAATTACTTGCTACAGTCAAAAAGCATCATGTGACAAATATAAAACATAGTCATTAGGACAGACAGACGCATGGAACTAGAAGCAACCATTTTCGATCGATCCCTCGCGATCTATCTCAGGAGGAGGGTGGATTCTCTCCTCTCTGTGTCTGTGTCTGTGTCTGTGCGTGAGATAATAAATATAAGCAATACTGAAAGTAGAATAAACACATGCCTGACTCATCAGTGTTGTTTATAATAATAATAATCGTAAATAATTCCCCACTGAACAGAGGCTAATCATCGTCAACAACAGTAACTCGTCGTGTTTTCTTGGAGACCCCGACGCCAAACAAAATCACGACCGTCCATTTTATCAACGGCTCAGATTCGTCAAGAGTTCCCCCGTCATCTCACTTCCCCAAAATGGTAATACTCGTGCCAACAATTAAATAAAAAAAAGTAGTGAATGATGGATCCATTCATCACATCAGAACAAAGTATGAAATAAATTATAAACAATTTAAATACATATCATATATATATATATGTGTATGTTTCAAGAGTTCAAAGTGATATTACTAATACTAACTACTAATATCTTGGCACTTGGGATTTATATTTGCTGAAACAAAAGATTGTTCTTTTATCTCCTCCCAATTAAACTATCAACCTCATGATATGATCATCATCAGAAAACAACCCTAAAAAACTAAAATAAAATAAAATCATTGACTCAAAAAGATCGATTTAGGTTAGAGATAGAGACCTCTTTTCTGAGTTAGCCCAACTCTCCAGTCCAGATCAGATCAGATCAGAGGGGCTGTTGCTGCTGTCGACACTTCAATTTTCGAAAGGACACTTTACAGCAAATTAATCTTTCCTTTATATGATTTTCCACAAAATTAATGAATGGCCGGCCGGTTGTTTGTCTCTCTACGTAACCACCCCACCCCATCCCATCCCATCCCACCCCAACTAATAATATACTTACTAGTTTCCTTCAAAAAGAACCTGCAATTCATGTATACTAGGATAGGATTTTGCAACAGTAATGATGGAAATTTTTACACATTCTAAATATATTTGTGAAATTTAATTTAATTTGGTATTATGGTTTCTAAATTTTGTTTTAGATGGTAAATCAATAATTGTTCCTTTCCTTGTCGTTAAAAAGACAAGTCTGGAGCCATCAGATTAGTTCTCGGGAGCTCCGTGGACTCCCACTCCGATCCGATGGGTAAATCCATGTGAATTTCTCACCGTGAATGGTGTGGATTATTCTGGCGCTGAGATCCCAGGAGCTCGCATGTTTTGCAAACTCGGCTGTCGCTGTTAAGCGTCCGGAAAAGAAACGAAATCTTCGAGGACGCGTACGGATTGGCAGCAATAAATATATTGGGCTTCAGTCTTCCACACTGAATTAATTTATCATCAATGAACCATTAATGTTATGTTTAATTTATTTATTTTATTATATACTCATTTTATTCGGACCATTTCCAATAGTATGGATTTTTTTACTCCACACTTGGAAAAATGAAAAAAAAAATTGCTCTAATCCATCCTCTATATATATGAAAAGATGCTATTTTAATTTTTTTTTTAAAAAAAAAATAATTTGTATTTACTTTTAATATAAATTAATTTATAAATTATACTCCTTCTGTCACCGTCCAAAGAGTTTCTTGGAAGTTTTGTATAATACTTCATCCGTCTCACCTATCATATCTATATTGTCATTTTTATTCATCACATATCTCATATTATTTTATTTTTTGGAAAATGACTGCACACTTTAATCTCATTTTAAATTTTCTATTTTATAATTTGTTTATTTTTAATTAGATTAATTAATTATCTTAATATGTAATTATTTATGTTATAGGATAATTATTTTCACATATATATTTTTAATTATCTATTAATTATACTTATCATAAATTTTTGTGTCTCCGGTAATCCAAACATGCAATGTGAGACGGATGGAGCAGTATTTTATTAGTGAGGAGAAATATGCAAGAGGTTTTGACATTTTTGTCATTTATTTTATACGGAGTATTAAAAATAATTGTATAGATAATGCTATAATTGTAAATTAGGTAAAAACTAAAGTTATTTTGGTATTGATGTATGATTATTTTTACTAAAATAAAAAATAAATACTTTGGGGAGTGAAACATACGAAAATAATAAAAAAAAAAAATATTTTGAATTGAAACGAATAAAGTTTACTTTTATAATACACTTGTAGTTATTAAATTATTAATAAACGACTTATGTATTTTTTTTGGATGACGTAGGAACCCGCAGCAGCTATTCGAAAGTGCCACTAAGTAAACCCTCGATCAAACCTAATACCCTGCAAATAAAGCCCGACAGAAAAATCACATTAAACGAATTATGTATTTATTATATTCAACATGTACCAAAAGTGTATTCTATTTGTATATATTGCATATCTTCCGCAACCATTCCTATTTTTTCAGAGGAATGTCTTCTATTCATTTAAATTTTCTTTCTAAAAACACATTTGTATTAAAAATATTCAATTTTTTTAATAAGAAATAAATTTGGGACAGGGCAGGATTCATTGTTATCCTCCCCCTCCTCGTTAGGCATCCTTTTAAAAAATAATTAATAGGTACTGTGTAGTCCACATCACAATCCTTGATGATCAAAAGCTGGCCCTTGGATTTCCTCACTCAGCTAGCTTACCAATGCAACACGAACCGTTGGATTGTTGCTGACCAATCTAGCCAGTCACGACCTCCAAGACATATATGTATGTGTATATATATATATATCATCAGGACTCCAAGTCCATGGATCCCCAGCAAAGAGATTGCCATAGCCATAGCCATTTAATGCTAAATGATAGAAGAGGAAAAAGCAAATGGTGGGATGGAAGGGGAAGGGGAAGGGTGCATGTGGTGGAAAAGCTGCTTTTACTTTAAAGTGGTGGAGGAAATAAAGCAAAGATGATGATGGATTGGATTGATGGTGGAATGGGATTATAGATACATGCCCTGTTTGCCCTTTTTAATGCTAAATAAAAATCACAATAAATAATATAATTACCCATGTGAATGTGTCGTGTGGTATATCCATACATACATATCATTGCCATCATCTTTTTTTCCATTAAGCTGTGTTTCTTTGCAAAGATTGTACTCGAGAATTTTATGATCCATCCCTCCCATTGGAAAGTCGCATTTATTTTTTACATATAAATTTTTTAATATTAATATTATATTAGATTGTAGTGAAAAAAACAAAAATATCTATATTAGTACGGTGTAATACTCCTTCCGTCCCGGAACTAAATATTCATTTGGTTTTTGCACGTAGTTTTAGAAATATTAGTATTATATTGGGATATAGTAAGAATAAAGTAGAAATGACTAAAATAACTTTATTAGTATGTGTGATATAAAGGTAATGACATTTGTGTAATATATTGTAAGTTGTAAGGGTATTTGTAATGTTAGGTAGATAGTACAGTTACTAAAAAATGAAATGGATAAGGACTAAAATGGAAAAATGGATACTTTGTTATGAGACGGACTAAAATGAAAAAATTGATACTTTGTTATGGGACAGATCGAGTATAAAACTAATGATATTTATGTAATATATTGTAAGTTGAAAGGGTATTTATTATGTTATGTATGTAGTACAATTACTAAATTAGAAAATAATAATCTTGTTTTGGGGCAGACAAAAATAAAAAATGGTAATATTTCAATGGGACGGAGAGAATATATTTTTTTAAAAAAATATACTATTTCCATTCGCCTCTAAGAATTTTATTTATTTTTTGTGTGTTAATTTTTTAATATTAGTTATTATATAAATATGTAATACAAATTAAGAGGAAATGACAAAAATACTTATATTAATGTCTTATAATACTATTATAATGATATTTGTTCAAAAAATTATATAAATATAAAAATATTTTTAATGTTAAATACAATGACGCAAAAATAAATGAGATTGCTTAGAGCCGAACGGAGAGTGTAACTTTTTATATAAAATATTTTATTAGAATTATTTTACTATCAAAATCAAACAAATTTTTCTTTTCAAACTCAACCAAAAAAAACATAAACGCTCATTTTTGGGCTTACCATATATTTTTAATATAGATAGGTTGTCATCGATTTCTGTTACGGTGTTGAGTATGTAATGAGTTCACCACTGTATTTGTTGGCCCCATCAACTTTCAACAGTATTGAACTAATAGAAGTTGTTAGATTGATTGATTGATTTTATTTTATTTTTTTTATCGGATAGATTGATTTATTTTTTAATTTTATGACTCATGTTGATCGGGATAATTTAGGTATTGTACAAAAGTTGATGTTATGACTTTTTAATTAAAAAAACTCAATAACATTTATTTTATACGTTATATTTGCAAATAAGAATCAATCCAAAATATATAAATTTGATATATTAAATTTTAATCAAAAAATTTACAATCAAAACAATATGATATTGGTAACAAGAAAATATGTTTCCGACAAGACAACAATATGAAGTACATATTATTTAAGGTTGAGCAATCGGAATTTTTTGTTCAAATTTTGCCAAATTTGAATTTTTCGAAAAAATCAATTCGAACCAAACCAAAAATTCAGAATTTTTTTTAAATATTTTAAATATTTTAAAATTTTAAATTTAATGTTATAATTTTATAATTATTTTATAATATAAAATATACATATATAATAAATAAAAATAAACATATTAAAATATAATTAATAATTTTGAGTTTTATTTTTATGAAAAAAATATTAAATATATTAAAATATTATATTTTGGATTTTGAATCGATTTAGATTTTTAATATACTGATTTGAAATTTTAAAATTTATAAAATTATCAATTTGAACCAATTCATGTTACAATATTTACATTATATTTTTGTTAATTAATATTCTTTTCATATAACACATCTAATTTACAAATTTTGAAATACCTTAAACAATAATAAAAAATTCAAATAAAACTTAAATAAATTTAATTCTACCGTCCTCATCATCCACCCATACCTCAAATTCTCTTGCCATTTTTTTGGTCCGAAAAATCCACCTACACTACGTCGGAAAGAAGTCGCCGGATTGGACCTCCCTCACACTGTAGTAGTTGATTCGAATACTGTTGTCCTGACTAATTCTATTTTTGACTCGATTCGTCATTCATTTTTTTCATCTCTCTCATTGTTTTTAATCTCCCCAGCAGATTATCAATGACGGAAAAGATGGTAAATCCTAAGACGTCAAAACATTTTCGAATTGCTGCCGACAAGACGTTGCTGGAATTGTAAGTTCCCACGCCATCCACCGTTGATTCAAACTAAGTAAATATAGATGTTGAGGCGTCGACTAAGCCGAAGGCCACAATAACCAATTACATCCAATTTTCATGTG